TTCCAACCTGATATCAATGGCCTCCAACCTAATAGCGATGGCCTCCACCATAATAGCGATGGCCTCCACCATAATAGCGATGGCCTCCAACCTAATAGCAATGGCCTCCAACCTACTAGCGGTGGGCTCCAACTTGATTTAAGACTCACTTTGCTGTTGATCATTAAACTCTAGCAAGTCAGACGAGATTGGTTCCATCAAAGATATGTCCACCTCTTGTGTCTCGATCGTTTTGATGAGTGGATTTGCTACCACTACCAGACCCGGTCCCTCAGCTCATCATTGCTGAACAAGAAGACGTTCAATAGCGTCGAGAAGAACCTCAGCGCAGAAGTGGAGCTTGTGAACTTTCACTAAAGGAAAAGAAAATAGAGGATACGAAGAGAAAAAGGAAGTCTAGGAAGATACAAAGAAAAAGAAACGGGCGCTTGGTCCTTGCAAGTTTAAAGTCCGCTAGCTGCTGACGCGTGTGAAAATGTCGCATCTCCACGGTCCCTGAGAAAGGACTACCAGGACAAGTGCAAAGGAGTAGCATCGCTAGTAGGAGCAAGAAGCTACTAGTAGCTCCTGGCCTTGCTACTAGGAACAAGAAGCTACTAGAAACAAAGGGCATCGCTAGTAGTAGCAAGGACGCTACTAGTAGCTCCTGGCATTACTACTAGTTGCAAGAAGCTATTAGTAGCAAGGTGCATCGCTACTAGTAGCAAGGTGCATCGCTACTAGTAGCAAGGTGCATCGCTACTAGTGGGTGTTTAGATGAGTCCTTGAAGGCTTCGGCATTCGCTTCGCATGTTTGGCCACCGGGCTGCACGTTGGATGCTCCAAGCATTTCTGTCTCAGACATCCTCCAAGGAGGGATGTCCAAAAGGTACGCTTGAGAGGAAACACGAAAGGTGTACTTGCTCCTAGTAGCGATGCCCTTTGTTACTAGTAGCTTCTTGCTCCTAGTAGTAAGGCCAGGAGCCCCTAGTAGCGTACTTGCTACTAGTAGCGATGCCCTAAGGTACCAGGAATATATGAGAGGTGTATCAAGTGTGGTGTGTGAAAGAAGGGACTGTCGGCTGTCGAAGGGGTTGCTACAACGTGTGGTGTCGTGGAGGTTTGTCAACACGACTTTGCTAGTTTGTGTGGAGAGCAAAATGGTGTGTGAACGCTGGCTTGCGTACAAAGATGTGGCGTTTAAACGCTGGCATGTGTCAGAGCTGCTCCCACTTCGTCGAAGCCGTGTTACTGCCGGTGAATGGACCTCACGCTATGGTAGGTGGGTGATGATAGTGGTGCTTGCGAGGGGGGTCACCAAAATAATTGATTTTATTGGAGGGGGGGTCAATAGAATTGATATATCAATATTTGGTCCCGAGCAGGCTATTCAGGCTAACCCCTTTGCTTCGCAAAGCAAACTCAAGCTAGCCCTTACCAGACTACCTTTCGTGAAAAATTGCCAAGAGTCAAAAGCATGTCCTATAGGGAGGTATGTCATCCCACACGTTTTTTGGAGCTGTACGCAACAGCGTCTCTGAGTCGCTCTCTTCTTGATGGCGTCATGTCGTGGAAAGGCTAAAACCTCAAAAAGGCTGGGTGGTCATTCAAGTTTGAGAGACACTTAGCTCCATACAAGTAGCAAGGTGCATCGCTACTAGTAGCTAGAAGCTAGTAGGTTGGAGGCCATCGCTACTAGTAGCAAGAATTCAAGAGCTCCATTGGGCCACTTGCTTCACTTCCTTTAGACAGAAAGAATCTCTTACTACTTTAAGTTTCGCCCTCAATTAAGTAGGTGCCTACTGAAATAAGGAAGGGTTTGCTAAAAGACAGAAGAAAAAAAACAGATTGATTTCTTCAGTATTCCAAACTTCCCTTAGTAAAGTCTAGGTCTCATGTGGTGCTCAGGTCATGGCACAGCTGGCGGGCATGGACAGAAGTCTGGGCCCATCTGCACGGAGGCGCAGCCGCAAGTAGCGATTGCCCTGCCGCAAAACATGACCAAAAGCCACTTGTTTCTAATAGCTTCTTTGTTACTACTAGTAAGGCACCTGTTACTACTAGCGTGGCACTTGTTCCTAGTAGCTTCTGGGCAAAACGTTGGAATATTCCTGATTCTGAGCATGTTAGACAAGACTTGCAGGCTTTAAACCAGTGAATTCAAACTATGGCGGAGGAAGATGAAAGCAAATGAACAAGAATGGAAGACCAGGACACTGCGCATCCGGTACTTGCATAACTGTTCATTGTTCATTGTTTGCAGTCCAAGACTTTGCTCTGAGCAACACATTCAGCGTTCAAGGCCAGCAGTAGTACTGCTGTTGAATGGACTGGATACTATTCTCCGGTCACTATCCCTAATTACTCTGACCCAGGGCGCAGGGGGCTTTGTCACGCAAATGCGAACTGCATGCCATGCAAGATAGTCTCCACTACCAGGAATTGGCCTCCAACCTCTAGCCTCTAGTTCAAAAGTCTCTGCCACATTGCCTCAACCACAGAAGTGAGCACACACCTTGGCCAGTGGTACGGTGGCAGCTTGAATTATGTAAGCTTGAATGTATTGATGAAGCATTTCTCCAAGGCTCAACGTGTCTTGAATCTCTTGAACTGTGCCACCAAAAAGCGCCCAAAAGCTAACACAAAGAAGCGGTCTTCAACCAAATAAGCCATCAAAGGCTAAAGCCACCAGATGCCAAAAGCGACAGAAACCACAAAAAACTAAAGCCTAAAGCCAGGGACTGTCACAAGCTACCAAAAAGCTGAGCCCATAGCCAAAAGACAAAGAAACATAACACCCTGAAATAAAGAATTCAAATTGTCCACCATCCTGTTCGAGCCCATCATGACCCTGCATCTGGACCCGCACCGCCCCTGTTCTTGCCAACAGCGCAAGTGGGCCCTGAAATCCTCTGCCTGTACAAAGAAACAAAAGGAAGAAATCGACAATGGCAAATGTTTTAGATAGCCCATGCACACAATACCTTGATCCACTGATCCATCGATTGTACTCTGCCCTTTCACACCAAGTGTGAGCAAGCATCATGCTTTTTGAGGGCTGAAACTCCCAGCAAGCCTGGTCCATCCATCCCAAAGGCAGCTGCCATCGAGTGCCCTGAAATGAGAATGAATGCAACTTCGACCAAAGCACCAGTACTAGACCGACCTCCTCTTCTACATCCATAAAGGACAGGGACTGGTAAGCTTCAAACGACTAGAGGGGGAGATAGGACTGATGAAGTTCAGAGTTCAAACAAAGGATGACGATGAACTCTGGGCTGTCTCCCGCAGCCCAAAAAGGACACGCGATGGAAATAGGACAAAGTTTGAGACAAAATGGTTCCATTAAACGACTACGACTCGGTTGGAAAAATGGAAAGTCCAATCAAACAAGCTAAGGCTTTGAGGCTTTGAGGTCAGGCACGCCTCCGGAAAGGTTGGCCGTGGAGGCGCTTCAGGTCTCTCTTCCTCCTTTGAAAGATAGAAATAGAAAGCAAAAAGACACGTATCTCAACTACTTATGGTGCTTTGGGGGACATAGGCTGTGGTCTCACTTGCGGTGGCGAGGCGGCGGATTCTAGACACAAAGCCTCTACTTGTTCAAACGGATGTGTTCACACATGTTCTCGGTGACAAACTTGTCACGCATTTGTGGGAGTAGCCTTCGCACTCCAAACTTAAGGCGCCAGGTACCCAGCAAGGTGCGGACTTGACTCATTTTGTCGTGTTCCCCTGTTGACATGTTATCCTGTTCTTTTCTCCTCTCGTTTGTTATGCTCAAATCAACACTTTCTGCTATTCTTGCTACTCTTTTGGAGCCAGAGTGCAGCTCCAGCGCAAGGATCTTCAGGGTCAATTTGGGATGATTGTCTCATTGAATTTGAAAGGAAAGGATAGCGGAAAAGAAAAGAAGCAAACAAAGAAAAGGACAATTCAATGGTTTGTTCTTCTCGCATTGAATCGCAAAGGCTGGAGCGGAGTCGGGGGAGACGCGCAATTTATGCGATGTTCACTGCGCGATGGCCTTCAACCTACTTGCGATGGCCTCCAAAAGCCCAAAGCTCAAAGTCGTCATAATCCCCAGGCCATGAAAGCGACTAGAAACCAAAAGCTACCAAGAGGCACTGGGAAAATGACAACGATTGCGAAAAAGCCCCTAGTAGCGTCCTTGTTCCTAGTAGCGATGCCAGGAGCCCCTAGTAGCTTCTTGTTCCTAGTAGCGTCGGTTCAGACATTCATTTGAATTGTTTCAATTTGGAAAGAGTGCTGCACGAACTAGTAATTACAATTCTAATTAAATTCTTATTGTTACTAGTAGTAAGGCACTTGTTTCTAATAGCTTCCTTGTTTCTACTAGTAAGGCACCTGTTACTACTAGCGATGCACTTGTTCCTAGTAGCGTCGGTTCAGACATTCATTTGAGTGCTGCACGAACAAATGCCTCTTCACGCGAAAATCTTATCGTGTTATTGCAATGCTGCATCTTTGATCCAAGGAAGCAACCTAGCAATGTGAGGAATGATATTGAAGGATATACAACAACGCATACTTCATGCAGCTGTCAGTTGATTCGAACATGTGTGGCAAGTATGCTGCACCTCCTTGCCTTTCTTCTTCTTCTTCGCCTGACACATGAGCGACATGAGGAGCGACATTTAGACCAGTCCTCTTTTAGGTTACTGTTCCTAAGAACCAAAACATGTCAGCCATGTGAAGCGTTCTTCAAGGAAGCTTCTCCTGCCCTCAGACGGGAGAAGAGTCCAGGAAGAACACGAGCCGTTGTGCCCCTTGCATGTAGTAGCTTCTCGTGGGTTACGAAACTTTCACCATAAAACAAAGGTAAAAGTTGCTATGAAACCTGTTGTATGCTGCCACCTGGCCGCCCATGGACGCCTTGCTTTTCTTGTTTCCACCATCAATGAAGCGAGTCAGCTCATCGATGTTCTTGTCTTGCAAGTGTGCCTTGGCCAAGAACGTTCTCTTAGGAGGCCTCCTCAGGAGGGCTTCTTCCATCGCTATTAGGTTGGAGGCCATCGCTATAAGGTTCGAGGCCATCGCCATGAGGTTGGAGGCCATCGCAAGTAGGTTGGAGGCAATCGCTCTTGGGTTGGAGGCCCTCCCTAGTAGGGTGGAGGCCATCGCTATTAGGTTGGAGGCCATCGCTATTAGGTTGGAAGCCATCGCCATTGGGTTGGAGGCCATCGCTACCAGGTTGGTAGTAGGTTGGAGGCCATCGCTATTAGGTTGGAGGCCATCGCGAATAGGTTGGAGGCCATCACTAGTGGGGTTGGACACCATCGCCATTAGGTTGGAGGCCATTGCTACTAGGGTGGACGCCATCGCTAGTTGGTTGGAGGCCATTGCTATTAGGTTGGAGGCCATCGCTACATGGTTGGAGGCCATCGCCATTAGGTTGGAGGCCATCGCTACCAGGTTGGAGACCATCACTAGTAGGTTGGACACCATCGCCATTAGGTTGGAGGCCATTGCTAGTAAGGTGGACGCCATCGCTAGTTGGTTGGAGACCATTGCTATTAGGTTGGAGGCCATCGCTATAAGGTTGGAGGCCACCGCCATTAAGTTGGAGGCCATCGCTATTAGGTTGGAGGCCATTGCTAGTAGGTTATTTTTGGTTTGTGACTGCACGTTTGGAGGCAGCTTTAGAAAACAAACTTCATTACCCCTTACTGCAAGAAACAAATATGTTCTGTCCTTCTTCGCTCGCATTTCTTTCTTTCTTGCATTGTCTTCCTTCCTTTCTGTAGACTCCTTTTGACTTGAGACCTTTTTCTTCGTTCTTATTGCCTTTCTTTATAGACCGGCGCTTCCTTAGGGAATGAACGTCACTCCCCTTATTACTCACTTGTGGTTTCTTTTTCACCCAGGACTCGCAAGAAGAGTTATGTTTAGTCTTGGGATGCTTTGACAGCTGGGGACTTCGCTCCAGGCATGTTGTAAATAAATATGTAAAAGCCTGGCGCTCTCAGGCACGCCGATAGGGGGTAGAAAAAGAAAGTAGAATACATAGGTTTGGGGGGGGTGCCCTTTTTCGTCGTGGTTCAGGGGCGTTTTGGAGGCGAAAAAGGGCACCCCTAAAGAAGGGAGAAGCGCTGGTCTGCTGCGTGTTGCCAGTGAGTGAGCACAGATGGCTTCGGGGGGGCCATGGGTGAGGTAATCGGCAGGCTCATATATGTATATAGGTAAAGTGGAGAAAGAATAGCCGGAAGTGGTGAAGTTGACATTGCAGCCACTTGAACGTGCAAGATGAATGATTGGTTAGGGGTGGAAAGAGAAAGTATAATACATAGGTTTGGGGGCGCCTTTTTTCGTGTTGGTGGAGGGCCGTTTTTGAGGTGAAAAAGGGCACCCCCTAAGGAAGTGAGGGGCGGTTGCTCGTGTTGGCAATCAGTGAGCAAACATGGTTGGGGGGAGCCTGTGGGCGAGGCTAGCGGCGGGCTTTCGTGAGGATACATATATGTATACAGGTAGAGTGGACAAAGAGTAGCTGGAAGTGGTGAGGTTTGGCAGGCGGTGCGCTTTTTCGTCTTGGTCCCAAGAAGGGGGTGCCTTTTTGAGTCCGGCAACCCTAGCAATTCAATGCTTGCCCGCTGCAATCTGTTCTCTTGCATGCCCTCAACGGATGGCATCATGCACCCCATATGGGATGCCCTTTTGAGTCCGGCAACTAGACCTTTCCACCGATTAAAAGGGCACCCCCAAGCAACTCAACACCTTCCGCCTCCGCTGTGCCTGCCTCATCACGTGAACGCCCACCGCATAGGGAGTGCCCTCTTGAGTCTGGCAACTAAAAAAGGCGCCCCCAAGCAACGCTAAGCGTGACTGCCATCTGTTCTCTCTCTCCTGCTCTTAAGTATGGGGTGCCCTATTGCGTATGGTTGCCAGGCGTCACAGCCCCAAGCAACTCCAAGATTTCTTCTTTTCCGACAGCATTCTGCTCCCCCTCCTGCCCTCACAATGTCTTAAGAAACACAGAGAGAGAGAGAGAGAGACATCTCCCTTTTCTGGAGGAGTTCCAACCGCTTTTCACGTCCCGTTGTCCCCCCATTCCTGTCATCGACGTGAACGCCCACCCCTGGTAAAACACGGTATCGCTTGTAGGCTGGAGGCCATTGCTACTAGGGTGGATGCTTTTCTGTTCAGCTCTTGCCTGGAAAACCTCAGACTTGAAGGCAATCCCAGAAGGCCAGGGCGGCCATGTCCAACACCATCCTCTCGCACAATGAAGGATGGTTCAAAGCTTGATGGCACACTGCTTAGAACCCGACACGAAAAGCTCCGAACTTAGCCAAGCAGCCATCTCTGGGCAAACCGCTTGCGCTACCCGCTCATCAGACAAGCATAGAACCCACTCCTGCCAAAGTATTCTATTCCCACCAAATCATCGCTGAATCATTGCTCCACTGGATGTCAGAAGTGTTATAAATCTATATAGGCCAAAACTATTGTCAAGTCTTTTTGGACTTTGACACTTGAAGAGGTCTGGGACCGCAAGCTTCATTGCCAATTGTTGGATCAAAAGCAGAACCAACACCAAGCCTCAGCCTATCAGTGTGTCTCCCAAAGAACATCTTGAGAAGGAAGTGGGATCCCCACAATGAAAATTCCTTTTCCACCGCAACCTTTTTTTTGTTACTAGGTTGGAGGCCATAGCTAGTAGATTGGAGGCCATCCTTACTGGGGTGGAGGCCATCCCTAGTAGGTTGGAGTTGGAGGCCATCGCTAGTAGGTTGGAGGCCATCGCAAGTAGGTTGGAGGCCATCGCTAGAGGCCATCGCTAGTAGGGTGGAGGCCATCGCTAGTAGGTTGGAGGCCATCGCTACTGGGTTGGGGGCCATTACTACTAGGTTGGAGGCCATCGCTAGTAGGGTGGAGGCCATCGCTAGTAGGTTGGAGGTCACCGCAACTAGGTCGACGTCTGATTCGGTAACCGAAAGGTATGATTCGGCAACTATGATTCGGTGACCAAAAGCGCTGATTCGGTAGCAAAAAGCGCTGATTCGGGGTAACCAAAAAGCTGCTGACTCGATAACCAAAACCACTGATTTGGTTACGAAAACCGCTGACTCGATAACCAAAACCGCTGCTTCGGTTACCAAAACCACTGGTTCGGTAACCAAAGCCAAGAATACAATCCAATATAATGACCCGGGTAGTAGTAATGCTGCTGGTAGTAGTAGTGGTAGTAGTGGTAGTAGTCGTAGTGGTGGTAGTAGTAGTGGTAGTGGTAGTGGTAGTGCTAGTGGTAGTGGTAGTGGTAGTGGTAGTGGTAGTAGTGTGGAGGTGGTGGTGGTAGTAATAGTGGTAGTGGTAGTGGTAGTGGTAGTGGTAGTGGTAGTGGTAGTAGTCGTAGTCGTAGTCGTAGTGGTAGTGGTAGTGGTAGTGGTAGTAGTAGTCGTAGTAGTAGTGGTAGTAGGAGGGGCAGCAAAAGCAGCAGCAGCAGCAGCAGGAGGAGGAGGAGGAGTAGTATTGTAGTTGTAGTTGTAGTTGTAGTTGCAGTTGCAGTTGCAGTAGCAGTAGTAGTAGTAGTAGTAGTCGTAGTGGTGGTGGTAGTAGTAGTAGTAGTCGTCGTCGTGAGTAGAAGTAGAAGTAGAACTAGAAGTAGAACTAGAAGTAGAACTAGAAGTAGTAGTAGTAGTAGAAGAAGTAGTAGTAGTAGTAGTCGTAGTAGTAGGGGTAGAGGTAGAGGTAGATGAGGTAGATGAGGTAGAGGTAGAGGTAGAGGAGTTGGTAGTAGTAGTCGTCGTCGTCGTCGTTGTCGTCGTCGTCATCGTACGTACAAACGAACAAACGAATTAATGAACGAATGAACAAAACCTTTGCAACCACATGGAAAGTTATTATCTTGGCCATGGTTCCCCACACCCACCCCCCACCCCACACTCTTCTGCCCTCCAACCAATTCCAGCCATTTCTAAACCTTTGCAACCATCGCCTGGCTTGGTTTCTGAATCAGCTGTTTTGGTTTCTGAATCGGGTTTCTGAGTCGGAATGCCTTGGTTTCTGAATCGTAGTTGGTTTCTGAATCGGCAAATGTCCTCGCAACTAGGGTGGAGGCCATCACTTGTAGGTTGCAATCCATCGCTAGCAGGTTGGAGGCCATCACTAGTAAGTTGGAGGCCATCGCTACTAGGGTGGAGGCCATCACTAGTAAGTTGTCGCTGGAGGCCATCGCTACTAGGCTAGTCGGGTGGAGGTCATCACTGCTAAGGGTGGAGCCTCCAAGATTGAATTCCCTGAAACCATCGTTACAATCTTTTGCAAGCACAATAAGAAGACAGCACAATAAGCAGAAAGGAACCGCCCGGTCACACTCATGCACACTTCGGCTGGCCGCATGAGATGAACTTGTAAACCTTACCTACCACCAAGCAACCACTGCATCCCGAAAACCAAATTAATCCCCAACAAATCTATACAAATCAAAACTAAAATGATGCACACAAGTAAGTGTCCCTAAAATTCTAGGAATCAAATCAATAGAAGCGTGAGCTATCCTGCGTCCAGCTGCTAGAAGCTTTGGTAGCTAGTAGCTTTCTACCCTACTTAATTAAGTGAGGCGGGACCACGGGCTAAAATGAACAAGATGGAACCCACGAACCCGAACGCAAACACGATCGAAAAACTATTATGTCCAAAGGACACTCTTGTAGGACACTCTTGCGGGACACTCTGTAGGACACTCTTGTACCACACTCTTGTGGGCCACTCTTGTAGGAAACTCTTGTGGGACACTCTTGTAGGACACTCTTGTGGGACACTCTTATAGGACACTCTTGTGGGACACTCTTGTGGGACACTCTTGTGGGACACTCTTGTGGGACACTCTTGTAGGACACTCTTGTGGGACACTCTTGTGAGACACTCTTGTAGGACACTCTTGTAAGACACTCTTGTGAGACACTCTTGTAGAACACTCTTGTGGGTCACTTGCAGGACACTCTTGTGGGACACTCTTACACGACACTCTTGTAGGACACTCTTGTGGGACACTCTTGTAGGACACTCTTGTAGGACACTCTTGTCGGAAGCTCTTGTGGGACACTCTTGTGGGACACTCTTGTGGGGCACTCTTATAGGACACTCTTGTGGGACACTCTTGTGGGACACTCTTGTAGGACACTCCTGTACGACACTCTTGTAGGACACTCTTGTGGGACACTCTGCGGGACACTCTTGTGGGACACTCTTGTGGGACACTCTTCTAGGACACTCTTGTGGGACACTCTTGTAGGACACTCTTGTGGGATAGTCCTGTAGGACACTCTTGTGGGGCACTCTTATAGGACACTCTTGTGGGACACTCTTGTGGGACACTCTTGTAGAAGCTCTTGTGGGACACTCTGTGGGACACTCTTGTGGGACACTCTTGTAGGACACTCTTGTGGGACACTCTTGTGGGACACTCTTGTGGGACACTCTTGTAGGACACTCTTGCGGGATACTCGTGTAGAACACTCTTAAGGGACACTCTTGTGAGACGCTCTAGTGGGACACTGTTGTGGGACAGTCTTGTAGGACACTCTTGTGGGACACTCTTGTAAGACACTCTTGTGGGACACTCTTCTGGGACACTCTTGTAGGACACTCTTGTAGGACACTCTGTGGGTCACTCTTGTAGGACACTCTTGTGGGACACTCTTGTGGGACACTCTTGTAGGACACTCTTGTGGGATACTCCTGTAGGACACTCTTAAGGGACACTCTTTTGAGACACTCTAGTGGGACACTGTTGCGGGACACTCTTGTGGGACTCTCTTCCAGCTCCCCAGATACTCCGCGTACTAAAGTTTGTACTACAAGGTCGCCAGTTCTCAGCTTCCAGCTCCCCAGATACTCCACGTACTACAGTTGTACTACCAAGTCACCAGTTCTCATCTTCCAGCTCCCCAGATACCCCGCGTACTAAAGTTGCACTACAAAGTCGCCAGTGCGCGCCGGCATTTCGCGCGCTCGACGCGCACGATCTCCGCAGAGGGTTGCGCGGGCGCCGGACAAATCGCACTCTCGCCTGCATTTTGCGCACTCAACACGCAGGATCTCCGCAGAGGGTTGCGCGCGCCTGGGACAAATCGCACTCTCGCCTGCATTTCGCGCACTCGACACGCACGATCT